TAAAAGAATACTAGAAGTATTTAGTGTTTAGAGAAAAGCTATTACACTTACCAGACTACGGACCTTTTAACCATAAAATTAAACTGAAGCTAGGGGCTTAGTTAAAATCTTTCCTAATATACCACCTTAACCCCTGGCAGGCTAAGGCCCTTTAAAAGTATATTAAAGAAAACCTTACCTTAGGATTTATTTAGAAATCCTAATTACCGGCGGGTTACCTAATATTATTTATATTAAGGAAGGACGGTAAATTATATATAGTAGTTGATTACCGTTTATTAAACGAAGTTATTATTAAGAATTGATACCTACTGCCCCTAATTAACGAGTTTAGAGAGAGGATTACCGGGGTAGATCAGTTCTCCTCGTTCGATTCTTTAAACGCGTTTAATTATAAACGGATCGCCGTAGGAGACGAGTGGAAGACTGTATTTTAAACACGCCTAAGTTATTATAAATATCAGGTGATACCTTTTAAGTTTACTAACACCCTAGCGACGTATTAAAGCATAATCGACCACGTTCTCCACCCCTTTATCGATAAGTTTATATTTATTTACCTTAACGATATCCTTATTTACTTAAAAGGAGATAAGGAATATTATAAGTATATTTATCTTGTCCTTTCCACCCTGGAAAAGGTTAACTTAACGGTAAACCCTAATAAAAGCTAATTCCACGTTTAGAAACTTAATTTCCTAAGGTTTAAAATCTCACCCGGAAGAATAAAAATACAGAAGTTAAAGGTTAAGGTAGTTATAAACTGGCTAACACTTACTTCACAAACAGGAGTTTAAGCCTTTATTAGCTTTATAAACTTCTATCGACGGTTTATACGACACTTCGCCAAGATTACTAAACCGCTCTATAAACTTACAGGTGAAGAAAAGCTATTTATATAGATTAAATAATATTAGAAGGCGTTTAATAAATTAAAACGCGCCTTTACTACTACACTAGTGCTAACACTTCCTGACTTTTTAAAACCCTTCCAAGTTAAGACCAACACCTCTAATTATACTTATAAAGGAGTGTTAAGTTAAATAGGTGACGACAGACTCTAACACCCCGTGGCCTTCCTATTAAAAAGGATTTATAGGCCAGCATTAAAATACCCTATCCACGATAAGGAATTGATAGCCATCATCTGGTGTTTCATAGAATAGGCTCCTTACCTCAGTGGCACAGAGGAACCAGTTAAGGTCCTGTCCAACCATAATAACTTACGCTATTTCCTAACGAAGAAACTTAATCCCCGGCAAATAAAATAAGCTAAGTTAATAACACTATTCTATTTTAAGATCCATTACGTTAAGGGAACGGAAAACGGAAGAGCTAACGCCCTTAACCGTCGCTATAACCACTAAAAGAACGCTAAAGACCTTAAACCAGTTATAATATTTGTTCTAATAGCCGATAAAACCCTAGAACATACGCTGTAAATCTTAGACAACTAGATGCTAGAAGAGGTACAGATTTTTATAAACTAATACCCGGATTAGGAAGTTAACGATAGTATTTAACTTTTTACTAACTCCTACTAGGAATACCATATTAAATAGTAATAAGATAACTACCAGGTAAAGAGGTAAGACTTCCCCGGATACTGTAACACCTCTTACCAAGTTAAAGGACCTTACCCAGACTGTAAAAAAGCTAATAAACTGTTGAAAGAAATAGAAGGAGGACCCTAATCGAGTGATCTCCTCTTTTACAAAGGAAAACCCTACATTTACACACCTTTGAAACGGAAGAAGTATATATAATAAGTATATAAAGCGAGAGTTAAAGGACATATAGGAAAAGCGAAAACACTTACATAAGTGTAATAAAGATACACCTTTCCAGGAATAAAAAAGCTGGTGGAAAAGGTTATTAATAACTGTAATGTCCGTAACCGAACAAAAACACACAGATATAAGCTTTACAGGTTTCTTAAACCACTTTTAACCCCCTGTGTATTATAAAGTTCTATTTTAATAGACTTTATCACTAGGATCCCCGACTCTAAGGATCTAGCAATAAACGTCAGCTACGACTCTATCTGGGTAATCGTCGACAGACTGATAAAATAGGTATATTTCTTGCCATGTTTAACACAAACGACAGCCAAATAACTTACTTACCTTTTTAAGCAGTATATCATCTTTTAACACCTTTAACCTAATGATATCATTTTTAATTAAAATAAGCTGTTTGTCTTTAAGTTCTGGTAAGGATTAATATAATAAATGGGTGTAAAAAGCAAGCTGTTAACAGCCTTTTACCCCTAGATTAATAAATAAACAGAGCGTTTAAATCAGACCCTTAAAACATACCTCTAAGCGTTTATTAACTTCAAATAAAATAACTGGCTTAAACTACTGCTAACAGCGCAAATAACCTACAACACCACCACTGTTAAGTTAACTAAGATCTCCCTATTTTTCACACTTTTCAGCCGGGAACCCAAACTCCGTAAAAAACCCCCTATAAACACACCCTAAGCCACCGTTTAAGCTAACCGGCTTTAGGAGCTGTATAACCACTTAAAGGCTAAACTTGAGTTTACCTGTAAACAAATAAAGGGATATTATAATAATAAAAGAGCTGAGGGATTAACTCTCTAAGAGGGAGACCTAGTTTACCTTTTTTCGCGAAATTTACACACCTAACGGCCGAGTTATAAACTTGACTTTAAGAAACTTAAACCATTTTTCGTTAAAAAGAAGATCGCTACCTTTAATTACAAACTTGACCTACCTACTTTTATAAAGGTACAGATTAAGGTTTTTCACATTTCCCTCCTTAAGCTAGCACTAAAGAACGTCCCGCTTAAAAAGAAGATTAAAGTATATACTGATGAAAAAGACTTTGATATTGAAGAAATTTTAGATTTGTAATATTGTAAAGGTAAACTTTATTATCTTATCAGATAGTTAGATTACAGCCCTAAGTTAAACTTTTAGGAGCTAGTCGATAATCTCTCCTGCCCTAAACTAATTGAGAAATTCTACTATAAAAATCCAGATCAACTACAACTAGTAAAAAGATACCACCCCTAGAGGACCACGGTATAAAGGGCACTATAATAATACTGTTAGCTATGTAAAAAAAACCGCTTAACTTACGGTTTCACCTAGCAGGAGAAACAGTAAGTTAAAGGTAATAGCCCATATAGGATTTAAACCTACGACCTCTTGTTAAAGCAACCCTTATAAATAAGCCTGGATTATTTATAAAGGATGACTTAGAATAAGCGCGTTAGCTACTGTGCTAACGGATTATTTTATTATTAGAACTTACCTTTATTACTATAACCCTTAGCCCCGGTAACCGGCCTACCTTCCCCAGAATAGATCTGTACAACTGTCAACACCAAACTAAATTAAAGGAAGTGACAACCTACCTTAAAAAGTGGTTACCACTAGTAGCGGTAACCCTATAGCTATGTCGCCATTTAAAAAGGCACCCCAGTCGAACGACTCGACTATTACCTCCAGGGAGAAACCAGTCCACACCTCTTTAACCTCTAAGGACTAAATCACTTTTAGATCTTTACTAAATATAATATAAGCCTTATTGTTAATCACCTTTAGTTATCACTTAAGTTGTTACACCTTAGAAAAAGCAGTGGTAAAAGACCTTTAAATAGCAGTTATTTCGTTTAACACCTTGCTTTAGGCCTTATCTAATTTCTCCTTTTAAGAAATCAGTTTCTGCTAAAAATCCGCACTGTTCTTAAAAGTGTTACAGTAAACGTTTACAGATCGACAGGCGGAGCAGGAATCGGAGTCAGATAATGTAAGTGTTACGACCTCAGGCCTGTCGACAGACAGTCGGCAGGGTCGCTAGATAGGTTGGGTGGACAGAGAGGAGTAGTACAGGGGCAAGTCCTTACAGACAAGGGTTCACTGGTCAATAATAGTCATATATCTCTATAAGACAGAATAACACTCTAAGTGTTAGTGCAGTAGGATATAATCGAATATGGTTCAATTAATAAGCAAATACTTACGTGAGGAATAAAAGGTTCCTCACACCATCGTAGGTACGATAATAGCTATCTATACTAACTAATAAAGATGTAACTTATACCTCTGCTCTGTTACTTAGTACTTCTTAGGGCAAAGCGACAAAACAGGTGCTTTATCAGCTCTCAATATTCTATACAAAGCGCACCGAGCTTCCAGAGCAGGCAGTGTGGGGTTCCCCCACACTGTATTTAATACAGTGGCGCCTGCGGGGACACGTCAGCCCGTTCCGGCCACAAAAGTGGCCCGCAGGTCGTCACACAATTCCCCCTCTTCTTACTTCTTTTTCCATAAAAAATACCGTAGGTAATTTTCCTCCTACAACACCGCCATCATACCTGCTAATACGATTAAGAAACAACAAAGGAAACCTCGTCTTCTATCTACCAAGCGCCGCCGCGAAACCGTTCTTTTTATCCATACGTTCGGTATCGTCATACCCGTTCGCTACTCGCGTTACAAGACCCTTAACCTCGAATACAAGGTGGCCAGCAAAAGCGAGTCCTGCAGGAATTACTTAAGTGCTGTTTCTTCGTCTTACAACGTACATAGGAATAATCCGTCAATACTACAGGTGGTTTTTAAAAAGAAGAAGCGTTTAAATAAGGAAAAAAGGGAGACCCTGTCGAAGCTCCTCCGTCTAAAGGCACAGTCGCGGGCTCTTAAAGCTCGCGCCGATAAGCTCTTTAGTCACAAGATCGAGATTCTCAAGGAGGAGGATCGCCAGGCTCGTCTTTCCCAGTCGGGCAGCACTCCAGTTATTCCTTAGGGCAACGCTTCCAAGGCCCAGTTCGACTAGGGGGGCTTCCTAATTAGTGACACGACTGCGGGGTCGCCGCAACCGGCGACAACCGCTTCCTAAGGTAGGTTGTCGCTTCTTTTAGCTTCGGTCCGGTATTAACAGTCGTTCAGATCCATTCTGGGGAAAGTAATCCAGCTACCAGGGCTAAGGGTTATGGTAACAAAGGTGAGTTTCAACAATAAAATGGTCCGTTAACGCAGTGGTCAACGCACTTACTCTAGGTCATCTTTTGTGAATAATCGCGGTTTATTCACGAAAGATTACCCTCAGCGAGAGGTCGTGGGTTCGAATCCCACATAGGCTACTACCTTCAACTTGCTGTTTCACCCATCAGGTGAAGCCGCATGTTGAACGGTTTTTTGCATGGCTAACAGTGCTATCATAGTGCCCTTCGCGCCATGGTCCTCTGGGGGTGGCGTCTTTTTGCTGGTTGTGGTCAATCTGGATTTTCACGGTGGAATTTCTCGATTAATTCAGGGCAAGAGAGATTATTAACTAGCTCCTAAGAGTTTAACTCGGGGCCGTAATTTAGCCATCTGATAAGATAATAAAGTTTACCTTTACGATATTATGAATCCAGGATTTTTTCGACATCGAAATCTTCTTCGTCGGCGTGTACTTCGATCTTCTTCTTAAACGGGACGTTCCTTAATGTTGGCTTGAGGAGGGAAACGTGAAAAACCTTAATCTGTACTTTTATAAAGGTGGGTAGGTCGAGTTTGTAATTAAAGGTAGCGATCTTCCTTTTAACAAGGAACAGTCCAAGTTTCTTAAAGTCAAGTTTACAGCTTGGCCATTAGGTGTGCAAATTTCGCAAAAAAAGGTAGACTGGGTCTCCCTCCTGGAGAGTCAATCCCTTGGCTCTTTTATTATCGTAATATCCCTTCATTCGTTCGCGGGTAAATTCGAGTTCAGCCCTTAGGTGGTCGTGTAGCTCCTGAAGCCGGTCAGCTCGGACAGCGGCCCGGGGCGCATTTGTAGGTGGCCCCCTGCGGAGCTCCAGTTCCCGGCCAAAAAGTGTAAAGAATGGGGAGATCTTAGTTAACTTGACGATAGTGGTATTATAGGCTATCTGTGCTATTAGTAATAGCTTAAGCCAGTTATCTTATTTGAAGTTAACAAACGCTTGGAGGTATGTTTTAAAGGTCTGATTCAGGCGCTCTGTTTATCCGTCAGTCTAGGGGTAAAAAGCTGTTAACAGCTTACTTTTTACACCTATTTGTTACATTAATCCTTGCCAGAACTTAGAGATAAACAGCTTATCTTGATCGGAAACGATATTATTAGGCTAAAGGTATTAGGAGATAATATACCGCTTAAAAAGGTAAGTAAGTTATTCGGCTATTATTTGTGTTAAATATAATAAGAAATATACCTATTTTATCAGTCTATCGATAATTACCTAAATAGAGTTGTAGCTGACGTTTGTTGTTAGGTCCTTAGAGTCGGGGATCCCAGTGATAAAGTCTATTGAAACAGAACTCCATGGTACGCGGGGGGTTAGAAGTGGTTTAAAAAGCCTGTAAGGCTTATATCTACGTGTTTTCATTCGGTTACAGATATTACAGTTATTAATAACCTCTTCCACTAACTTTTTCATTCCTAGGAAGGCGTATCTTTATTATACTTGTAAAAACGTTTTCACTCTTCCCATATATCCTTTAATTCTTACTCCGTGTATTTATTAAATATACTTCTTCCACTTCAAAGGTGTGTAAATATAAGGTTTCCCTTTATAAAAAAGGAGATCACTTAATCAGGGTCCTCCTTTTATTTCTTTTAATAATTCGTTAGCTTTCTCACAGTCTGGGCAAAGTCCTTTAACTTAACAGGAGGTACCACAGTACCCGGGGAAGTCCTACCTCTTTACCTAATAATTGTCTTATTACCATTTAACACAGTATTCTTAACAGGAGTTAGTAAAGAGTTAAATACTATCGTTAACTTCCCAGTCTAGGTATTAGTTTATAAAAACCTATACCTCTTCTAGCATCCAGTTATTTAAGATTTACAGTATATATTCCAGGGTTTTATCAACTGCTAAAATAAATATTATAACTAATTTAAGGTCTTTAGCGTTCTCCTGGTGGTTATAGCGACGGCTAAAGGCGTTAGCCCTTCCGTTTTCCGTTCCTTTAACGTGGTGGATCTTAAAATAAAATGGTGCTATTAACTTAGCCTATCTTATTTACCGGGGACTAAGTTTCTTCGTTAGGAAATAGTGTAAGTTATTATAGTCGGATAGGACCTTAACTGGTTCCTCTGTGCCACTAAGGTAAGGAGCCTATTCCGTGAAACACCAGATAATAACTATTAATTCCTCATCGTGGATAGGGTATCTTAGTGCTGGCCTATAAATCCCTTTTAAAAGGAAAGCCATAGGGTGTTAGAGTCCGTCGTCACCTATTTAGCTTAACACTCCTCTATAAGCGTAGTTAGAGGCGTCGGTCTTGACTTGGAAAGGTTTTAAAAAGTCGGGAAATGTTAACACTAGTGTAATAGTAAAGGCGTGTTTTAATTTATCAAACGTCTTTTAATATCGTTTAATTTATATAAATAGCTTCCCTTCACCTGTAAGTTTATAAAGCGGTTTAATAACCTTAGCAAAGTGTCGTATAAACCGTTAATAGAAGTTTGTAAAGCTAATAAAGGCTTAAACTCCTGTTTATGAAATAGGTGTTGGCCAGTTTGTAACGGCCTTGACCTTTAACTTCTGCATTTTTATCCTTCCGGGTGAGATTTTAAATCCTAGGAAATCGAGTTCCTGGACGTGGAATTAGCTTTTATTAGGGTTTACCGTTAAGTTAGCCTTTTCCAGGGTGGAGAGGACGAGATAAATATACTTACGATATTTTTTATCTTCTTTTAAGTAAATAAGGATATTATTAAAGTAAACAAATATAAACTTATCGATAAAGGGGCGGAGAACGTGGTTGATTATGCTTTAGTATATTACAGGGGTATTAATAAGCTTAAAAGGTATCACCCGATATTTATAATAGCCCAGGTGTGTTTAGAATACGGTTTTCCACTTGTCTTTTATAGCGATTTGTTTATAACTGAACGTATTTAAAGAATTGAATAAGGAGAACTGATCTACCCTGGTGATCCTTTCTTTAAACTTATTAATTAAGGGTAATGGGTATTGATTCTTAATAATAACTTCGTTTAACAAACGGTAATCGATTACTATACATAGTTTACCGTCCTTTTTAGGTATAAATAATACTAGGTAACCTACTAGTAACTGGGATTTTTAAATAAATCCTAGGGTAAGGTTTTCTTCGATATACTCCTAGAGGGCCTCGGCTTACTAAGGGTTAAGATAATATATTAGGAAAGATTTTAACTAAACCCCTGGCTTCAGTTTAATCTTATAATTAAAGGGTCCGTGGTCTGGTAAGTGTAACAGCTTCTCTCTAAACACTAAATACTTCCGGTATTCCTTTAGAACCTTAGACAGGTTATCCAGAGCCTGTTATTACGGCTAGATATCTTATTATCCTACCGTCTTCCTTAGTGGTTGTCGACGTAACTGCACCTTTTAGTCATCACCAGATTTGTAACCTAAGTCGTGCGGATCGTCCGTCTTATAAAACCGTATCTACAGTGGGGATAGTTTATTAACCTCAGCGTTCTTCGGGTCGTCCTCAGCGGGTACGCTATCTGGTTTAGCACCTATATTATACCGTTCGGTATACCTTTGTGGTATACTAGTTGGTATAATCCGGCTACTGGAGCCTGGATCCTTAGGTTTTTCCCGTCGGCTGAAACTTAACTGGCTAACGTTCTAATCGATCACAGGGTTATACTTCTTCAGCCATGGCTTACCTAGGATTATGTCGTAGCTAAAGACTGGTAAGATGTCGAAGGTCACTTATTATTTGTTATTATCCACCGTGATCAAAAGTGGTACCTTGTAAGTGAGCTTCCCGTTATTATAAGTGTAGAGTTCTCCTTCTCTAGAGCAAATTATCGTTTCTTACACTCGTTTTCGGTAAGGGAGTTGTTTCTTATTAACCAGCTTAGGGTTAATGATATTAGCAGCGCTGCCGCTGTCGATTATTGCTCGTGCGTGGAATGGTTTCCTAAACCCATCCGTTACGTCCATATAGACAGACCAATGGTTTTTTTCTTCTTCGAGGTGGGTTATCATGATGGTTCTGTCATTAAGAGGTCTTCCTTGGCCTAGCCGACGAGTGCCTCTTCTGCGTCTTGTAGCTTTTACCATCTAACGGTTCACTGGTTTCCGGCCCTGGCGGAGGGCCTAAATCCGTTTCCCAGGCGGATTCGGGGGTAAGCTTCATAAATTACTCGGACGTGGTACGTAAGGTGCCCGGTATCCTTCTTTAGGTTTTAATCGGCTTCTTAGGCTTCGATGGTGCACATTTGCCTGAACTCGGGGATAAGCGGCTATGCGTTGTTTCCGAAGATGTTGTTTTCGTACGTTCCTTGGTGGAACCGGTGATACTAATCACGGGTCTTAAGGTCCTGGTGGATAGGGTAAGAAGGGCGGGGATAACGAGCTAACGTCTGTTCCTTCCTCCCCTTATCCGCGTATGCTACAGGGATGTTATTAAACAGTATAAGGTTTGTTCCTCTTAAAAGCACCTGGTAGTAATTTTAAGATATATCCTTATAAACACAGGCCACGGATCCTCCTTTTTAGATAGTGGGCCAGTAATCATAATATGTCTTTATTCCCCTATAGGCAAGGAGGTCGTAAAAGTCGTGGACATAACTGATCTAAAGGATCTTCGAATGTTCTTCCTCTGTGACGACCTGCGGGCCACCCTTGTGGCCGGAACGGGCCGACGTGTCCCCGCAGGCGCCACCGTATTAAACACAGTGTGGGGGAACCCCACACTGCCTGCTCTGGAAGCTCGGTGCGCTCTGTACAGAACATCTAGAGCCGACAGAGCACCTGCTCTGTCGCTCTGCCCTAAGGAGTACCGAGCAACAGAGCAGAGGTACAAGTTACATCTCCATTAGTTAGTATAGATAGCCATCATCGTACCCACGATGGTGTGAGGAACCTTCTGTTCCTCACGCAAGTATTCGCTCGTCAATTGAACTACCTTCGATTGTGTCCTACTGCACCAACACTTGGAGTGTTGCTCTGTCTTATAGTGACATACGACCATCCTTGACCAGTGAACCCCCGTCTGTAAGGACTTGCCTCTGCACTACTCCTCTCTGCCCACCCATCCTATCTAACGACCCTGCCGACCGCCTGTCGACAGGCCAGAGGTCGTAACACGATACTTGCGTCTACCCTTTAGAGACCAGTATTACAGAGCTTAC